CCCGGGCGCGCCCCGCGCCCGCCGCCCTCTCCTCCCTCCACCTCGCGCCTCCTCCCTGCCCCGCCCCCTTTCCCACCTGGATTCCGGATAGACTTGCCAACTCACTGCTACGTGAGGCTGGCAAGGGTGGGGGCACTGATCCGACCCGACCGCTCCCTCAGATCTTATACCCCACCTCCGTTGCAGCTAGGCTTTAGCAGGCGGCGCACTCCGCACCCTGCATGCGGGGGGGAGAGGTGCTTCCTCTCCCAGGGCGCGGGCACAGGTATGGCGAGGCCTCAGGCACACACGGCTCTGGGGGCTGGATTCCTTAGGCGCCCCCAGTCCCCCCCCTTCCCCGAGGGCCCGGAACCTATCTGCGTGTCTCTCTTTCTGTCTCTGTGTCTGTCTCTCTGCCTGTCTCACCCCCACCCCCCACCCAAGATACAAGCTGCTCCCGGACTGTGTTCTGGGGCCAGGCATGCCCTGCGCGTGCCCGAGGGCGCCCATCCCGACCCGGAGCGGGAGCGAGGGTGGGACCCGAGCCCCGCCAAAGGTCGGCGTGGATGCCACGGGTGCGCCGCTCGCACCTCCTGGGCAAGCCGGTGCCAGGACAGAACCTAAGCCGAGGTTGGAGCCGAAGTGGGCTCGGGAGGACGCGCTGTCTTCTGCACCCGCGGCACCACCCCACCCCCTCTCCCTCGCCGGGAAGGGGCTGATTCTCGGGATCCTGGGGGTTGGGGGGCAGGGCCACACACACCCTCCCCAGACGCTGAACGGCTCAAGGCTCTAGGTCCGCCCGTTGGAAAGAAAGCCACCGTGGCTCCCTTCCCTTCAGCCTGGCACCCCCGGACCTCGCGTCCCAGCCCTAGGAGGGCACCCAGCGCCCGGCGGCAGGCTCGCGGGCTGCCAGGGTCCAAAGTTCACTGCAGGAGAGGAGGGGGTGGCCAGAAGATGGGGATGAGGGGAATGAATGGAGAAGCAGCCCCAGCCGCCGTGGCAACTCACCTCGGCGCTGACCAGACGCAGGTAGCAGCAGAGAGACAGGAAGAGCGCCCAGCAGCGATTCATGCCGACTCCGGGCCCGGCCCCGCGGGGCCCTGGACGCGTAGACGG